AATAAAAAACGTTGAAAAAAAAAATTTAAAAAACAAAAAAAAACAACGAAGGTTGGGGCACGTGGGTGGCTCGCTCGGTTAAGCGTCTGACTCTTGCTTTTGGCTCAGGTCCTGATCTCACGGTCGGCGAGTTCAAGCCCCGCCATCGGGCTCCACGCTATCATTGGGGAACCTGCTCTTTTCCTTCTCTCTCTGCCCCTCCCCTGCTCTCTCTCTCGCTCTCCCTTTCTGAAAATAAACAAATAAACTTAAAAAAATAAAAATAAAAACACGACGGTAACTTTTTGGAAAGGTCTTTGACCCGGTAGCCTGTGACACATGAAAATATTTACACTCTGGAAACTAGCTGTGAGCCCAGTATAAAATTTTCATCTTCCTTCAAACGCTTTATCATAACCTGTCTTGTATCACAGTGGGTCAGATGGGGCCTGTCCCTCCCCAGTGTCCCTCTCCCAGAGTGCAGGGACCTTGTCTCCACACCTTTATGCCCTCTCCCCGGCCCTAGGGTAGGTCTCGCAATGACCCCTGAAGTGTTTTTGGATTAAGTTTAAGCAAAAATGAATTTTATTTTAGTGTTTATCTCTCAGACCATGTTCTGAGTAGATGGCCAAAATGCGTTTTTGCTTAATGTCCTTATTTCCCTTATTCTAGCTATTAAAAAAAATAATTGAGACGGAGGAAGTAACATTGCCGGCCATCCTTGTTTAAACAAAGCTGCCTGGACGCTCTATGCTGCCATCTAGTGGGAGAAAAGGATTCAAGGCCATGGAATCCGGTCCCTTGAGAGGGCAAACCAGGGTCTGTGTTTAGAACAAGGTCAGCGACGCCAGAGTGGAGGGGATGGGAGGGACACATGATGGGGGATATGTGTTTTCCTCCGATTAGCCACGCACCGCCGCCGAGGGTGGCTGCCTCTTTGCACTTGGCATAATAGAGGAGGAAGCCTTCTCTGTGGTTTCTCGAACAAGCACATCACGATAAACTGGGTGGTGTCCTTGGCTGTGATTCTATCTGTGGGCTAGTAATTTAGGCTGTGGGACATTCCCATCAGAACAATGCCATTTTTAGAGGAGAAAAGTCATGGTTTTATTAGCATAAGTGACACACACACACACACACACACACACACACGCACACGCACACGCACGTAGACACAATGCATTGTTTCAGCCTCTGGCTGATTTCTGGTCCTGCGCTATCTCCTTAATCCAAAGCAGCACTTGGCCCTACAGGAGGGAGCCGCGGGGTCCCTGGCTCAGCCTCTGATGATGACTACTGGGGCTTTTCATCCCAGTTGACTTTATTTATTCATAAGCAGAACGCACACTCAAGGTTCTGTGGGCCCTGTCCCGGTCACATCCCCCTTGCTTTCAATTTTCTTTTATTTCTTTGTTTCCCTTCTCTCCCTTGCCGGTCCTCTGAGCAAACCGGTGAGTTCCTCGGGGCCCCTTTTTCTTTCCCCAAACACACACCAGCACTCGTGCGCGCGCGCGCGCACGCACACACACACACACACACACACACACACACACACAGAAACACAGTCTGGAGGGCCCTGGCCTAGATCTTTGTTGGAAAGTGGCTTTTGAGAAAATCAGAGAAAACCCACTTAGGTCACGGTCAACAGAATCCCTGGGGCCAGCAGAGCTGTTCAGCCAAATCTGGGACGAATGATCACTCAGAAAGAGGCTGCTTGGGGGGCGCCTGGGTGGTTCAGGCAGTTAAGTGTCTGACTTCGGCTCAGGTCACAATCTCGCAGTTCGTGGGTTTGAGCC